AGACTGATGAGGAATGAGGTTAATTACTGGAACCTTGTCATTAGGAACTAAAAGGAACAGAGAATATACAACTATAAAATGGAGTAATTTACTTTTAATAAAAATTATAGTTGAATATCTGATATTATCACTTGGTAGGACAAATGAATGTTTAGTACTTGATACATTGTACTTGCAAGTATATTGTCCAGCATCAGATAATGACACATTATTGATAGTGTAGCTGATAGTGTGTTCAGTATTATTATTGATACCAGTATATGAGTGTAGAGTGTGATTAGAGGAATTGAGCCATTGTATGTTCACATTAGTAGCAATATCAACAAGAGGAGAGTGTGGATAAGTGACAGAGCAAATGAGGCTAATACTGTCACCAACAATATAATAAGAAGACAACGGAGCAATTGATGGATAATTATTACCATTAGGAACTATCAATATAAAATACACATGATAATGGTGTTAATAAAAATAAAGCAAAACTCACTTTTAATTGTTACAATAGTGACTCCTGTTCTGACATCACTTGGTATAATATAAGGATTGTTAGTGGTACTATTGAGATAATATGTACAACTATATTCTCCAGCATCAGATAGCTTTATATTAGTGAGAGTATAATTGAAATATTTTTTGTATGGATAAATAGAATATTGCTGGTTAACAATTGTATTTGAACTCCATTTAATATTGACAGCAGTATCAATATCAACCAGTGGTGAGTTAGGCTCAGTAACTTTACAAGAGAGAGTAACTTTATTACCAACTTCATAATAGGATGGTATAGGATTGAGAATCAGTGATGTACTGTGAATTGGAACTACAGTAATGAAATGTAAATTAGTTGATAATGATGGCTCAAATTACTACTAATGAGAATGTATTATAGATCTCATGATGTAACTTACTTTTAATATTTACTTCAGTAATAGCTGATTTAACATCACTTGGTTCAACAAATAAATTGTTACTACGAATAAAGGAACAAACATATTCTCCTGTATATGATAATTTGAAATTAGTGAAGGGAATGTTTAAAGATAGTTTGTGACTACCAGTGGCACCAATATCAACTACACTTGACCTAATGATCCTTTTGTTGTGTGTGATGTTAACAGTACCCTTAGTAGCAATAGGAGGTGATAATTGATAAGCAGTAATCATACAAGTTGCATTAAAACTGTCTCCAGCTGTATATTCATTCAATAGAGACATACTAACGGCATCTCTAGAATTATCGACTACAAACAAACGACATAAAGGAAAACAGGTTAGTGATATAATACTTACTTTTCATCGTAACTTGTACATTATTTGATGTCATACTCCTAACTGATTGTTCTCCTATCCATGCTACACAAGTGTAATTACCAAGTGTTGATACTGGAGTTGATGATGTTATTGGACTGAACCTCAGTGTACTAATAAATGATGTATTAGTAACAGACACAATGGGTAGTATAGATACTCCTTCACTGTCTGATACTAGTCTGTTCTCATTACCATTGTCTCTATACCAGGATACATTAACTATACTGTTAATATCAGTGTTAGTAGCAATATGGCACTCCAACTGTTGAAAAGTATTTGATAAAATTAATGTGTCAATGTTAGTCACCACTGTCTTTATAAATGTATCTATTAAAAAGTAATAAATTAATATATTATTTATACTGACAGTACCTTTCACTGTAACTGATACATTTATTTGTTGAAAAGGACAGTTATTTGGATTTTTACCAATTAGTATACTACAAATATACACTGTATTGTTGATTGACTGATCCACTGTTAATATGAGAGGATTTGTAAATGCTTTACCAGATGTATGTTCTTGCCATGCTACCACGACTTCTGAATCATCATAATTGTAACCTAATGTACAATCATACTCTCTAACATCTCCTAGTCTTAAATCAGCATCAAAAGAAATATTTATGACATTAACTAAATGAAAACATTTATACACTTTGATTTTGATTTTAGACTAACCTTTAACACAAAGATCCAATTCATTACTTATAACAGTGTCATTACCATCAATGCTAGCTCCACACAGATATTCTCCAGCATCAGAGAATTGAACACTAGTAATATTCAGTGTTGTTACTAGACTCTTACTGTCACCATTAATCATCAGTTGCGTCCTCCTATCACTAATATCAGTGCTATACTGATACCAGTAATGATTCATGAATGATGTATCAGGACCTATCCCAGTATTAAGACTGATAGTACAGGTCAATACTACTGTAGAGTTGATAAAACTGACTATTGAAGAGGGTAATACAGTCACTGAACTGATATAAGTAACTACAACATGTAACAATAAATATAATTAGTTACAATTTTCTGGATTCTTACCTTTCATTCTAAAAGTAATGACCTGCGATTGAGTACTACAGTCAGAAGGATTAGTCTCAATTATAATTGTACAAGTATATTGTGTATTATTATGTGATGGTAGTATTGATGGTATCATTAGTGTATTATTGTTACTATAAATAGAACCATTAGTAAGTAGCCAGGATACTGATACTCCAGTAGGTACTGCTCCAGTGATACAATCAATTGAATAATACTGACCAAGGGATAGTTCTTCTGTTACTGATGGTAGTGTCTCATTAACTGTATAAAAAATATTAATAGCATATACGCTATTTTGCGACACATTATACCTGTTACACATAAATTGATATTGTCAGTAGTTACATTAGAATCAATCCCAGCATTACAATGATATACTCCAGCATCAGATACTTTTATTGAATTAATAGTAAGTACTGAAGTAAAGACAATGTCATATTCTCTCATTAATGAACTATATTGTGTAATAATACTCATATCATGATACCAAGTGACACTGGGCTGCATACCAGGACCAACAGGAGTATTGAGAAGAATGAAACAATCAATTTTTACTGTTGAATTGATTAAAATCAATAATTGAGAAGTCATCACAATCGAGCTCACATATGTCCCTAAATTTAATTTTGAATATAAAGAAGGATCATTCTTAATTTGTTAATCAGTACTTTTAGTATCAATGGTAATCATCTTGTTGTCTGGTGAACAAGTCACTGGGTTGGTATCCACTTCTACAGTACAAGTATATTCAGTGTTGTTAAGTGATGGTACCACATTAGGTAGTATTAATGTATTATTGTTACTGACAATAGCACCCTCTGAATCAGTCCAATTTATGGATCTTATGATAATTCTGTTGAGTGATGAGAGATCCATGCACTGTATTGTTGCACTATATCCCAGTGGTAAGTCTGTGTATTTATCATTGTCTTGATTAAAGGGAACAAGATCTACAAAACCATAATGAATTTATAACATAAATGTATACCTTTTAAACACAAGGGTTTTAAATCAGACAATACACTATTAGATCCATTAATTGATGCATTACAAGTATATACTCCAGCATCAGTTGGTGAAACCTGTGTTAATGTCAGGATACTATTAAATGTTGATAATGAACCATTAATACTGATATTATCTGTTACAATTATTTTATTATTCTTAAACCAGTTCACTACAAGTGAAGAAACATCAGGACCAATAGCATTAGTGAGACTAATAGTACACACTATTGATACATCATCACCAATGACATAAGATGATAATGATTGGACAGTAACAGATGAGACACTGGTATCTGTAATAAACATTAATAACTAATCTACTATGATCAACTAACCTAATACACTAATAGTAATAGACTCTGTCAAACTCATAGCCAGTAAATCTGATGATACTACACAAGTGAATGTGTTGTTATTATGAAAGAGCATCACTGGATTAATGATCAGTTCATTGCTATCAGTATTGAATGATGATGAATGCCATTTTACTTCACTGTTAGGGATGGAGGGCAGTGTAGTACAGTTAATACTGACACTACGACCAACAGTGAGGTCAGTATATTGACCAGTAACAATGATATCAGGTACTAAAAGGATTCAATAAATTAAAATTGAGTATAATTTTTATTTCACTTTAGAAAAAAGGATCGATTTACATTATATTTGGATATTATCAGGGGCGTATCCAGGAATATAAGGAGATCATAGATATGGGTGCTGAGGGCGCGCGAAGCGCACCACAATTTTGGCCACACCCGCTTTTACGGCGGTAAAACGGCCTTTTCCTGCATTTTTGTCAATTACGGGTGGGGCCAAGATCATTTCAAGCATGCTGGCATGCAAGCTGCCATGTACTGGTACTTCTGATTGCTCCTTAAAGCACTGGAAACTGCTGAAATCATGATCAGGGGGCTAGATAACTTTGTTAGGAGGCTTGGTAGTGATGCAAGAGTCCAGGATTTGAGTAATTTTTTCTGAGCCCAGCCATGAGGGGGTGCTCAAGCCCCCTCAGCCCCCCCCCTAAATACGCCTCTGATTATTTACTTTTCATTATTAAAGAAATGCTTCCTGAACCACAAGTATAGTTTCCAGTATCAGTGCTCCTCACTTCTTGTATAGTCAGTGTACCACTAGTAGTATTGATATTGTAATGAGCATAATTACTAATATTAGCTCCATTAAGTTTCCACTGTATTGTATCATTTAATGTACAATGTAAGGTTACACATTCACCAATTGATACACTTGTTTCAATACTGGAGTTTCCATTTGATGATACAATTTGCTTACACGTAGCTATAAAGTATAAAAATTACAAGCATAATTGTAGTCTTTTGATATGACATACCCCCGGTAACTATTGAGGATTTATGATGAGTATGCATGCACCATAATATATGAATGATGGTTAACTTGAAATACACAAGTTAGTACAAGCTTAATGTATACTGGGTATTGACATTGAAAATTATGTGGCAGTGAAATTTAAATATCTCTATATATTGTTGTAAAATGAATACAGAATAAAGTTCATTTCATACTTTAAATAAGTACATGACTATACATTTACCTTCACAATTTGAAAGTGTAACTATGATCAATAATATTAACAAAGGAGAGAAGCAATACTCCATCTTGCTAGGGCCCAACAGAGCCTCAGACCACAGTTGTGCTATTCTGGTTGGTCAGGTGCACAATAGGGAGGGACTGTGGGTTGAATAGATAATTGTTAACAATAACTCACTGGATTGTTTCCCTATATGGGGATGATGTTTGCACACCTGGAGTTAACATAAGAAAATAAACTATCATAATATTCAAATTGTGTACCTCATCACTCTCTCAATTACACATCCATAGTTGATATGTTGAAATCAAGGCACACTATACGGCTTGGTACTTGGCGATCTATAATCAGTTATAGTACGGCAATGACCATTGACAAACAAGAGTACTGATATATGCATGCAGTTGCGACCTTGTTGTCATGAAACTATACTTTACACTGAGCAACAGATCTACTATAAACAACAACATTAGCTGCAAAAAAATAATTATGATTTTTAGTATCATGAACAAACAGTACACTCACGCAAAACGTGGGCGTATCTACTCTCCATCACGTGACTTTCCATGACGTCATATGGTACCACGTGCTAGTTCATGGCGGGTAACACGAAGGGAAAGAAGAGGAACTCGTCCCTCGTTCCTGTACCTCTAGCAGAAGCAAGACTTCTAGGACCAGGTGAAGATGTCTGCTTTAGACATGGAGCCATTAGGAAACTAGTACTACATAATTTCCTGTAAGTGTACTAACTAACAAGTAGTTGATGACATTCCGCCATTTTTTTACACTAGCACTTTTGATAATATTGTCCTGGAACCATCACCTCAACTCAATTTAATAGTTGGACCAAACGGTGAGCACCTCTCATTTATTTTCTTCTCATTTACACTCAAAAAATTCCCGGATCACAAAAAATACGGCACTGTGGCAGGGGGTGTGGCTAAATGAAAACTATGCCCTAATTTTAATGGTGCCGTCTTCTTTGTGACCCAATTTTTGACCTTTTTGTTAAGTTAATTTTTGTAGGTACTGGTAAATCAAGTCTTGTTTGTGCCATATGCCTTGTACTCTGTGGCAATACCTCTATCCTTGGACGAGCAAAAGACGTGAGTCTTCTACTTGCGTCATGTGATAGTCAGCTGACCTGGTTGACCTCGTTTTATTTGTAGTTGAAGGATTTTGTGAAGAGTGGCCCAGCAAAGGAAGGATATGTTGAGATTACAATGTAAGGATATTAAAGTATATATACATGTACATGTAGTCATGTACCCTTGTAAGATAGTATTGAATTGTCATGTGTACATGTACACATGTACACATACATGTATTGTCATCCCTTTATGCCTACCAAAGCACTTTACTGTGTTTCTGAACCTAATCACGGAATGTGCTAAAGTTTTGAGTCATATGGTCTGTATTAGGCCTTGCTTAATGCTTACTACATGTATCATATAAACTGTACATGTACATGTAGTGGTAAAAATCTATACAGTTTTATTTTGGCAATTTGCAGTAAATTGATGATATGATTGTCATAATACCTTTTACCATTTAGCCTCCTTTGAGTGACACAATTGCCAATATACACAGTGTACATGTAATCCTTGCAATCATAGAATCACTAATTTTAAGAGCCACAAAAACCCCCAGTTGTTATTTAATTATAATGTACATAATATGATAAAGATGTACATATACATGCATGCATGCATGCATGCATGCACAAACTTATTTTTTATTTAATTTATATCATTTCTTTCTTTCTCTCTTAACTATTCTTTCTCTCAGTCATCACAGAAGTGGTAACCATCCCACCATCAGGAGGCATATATTCAAGGACAGGAATAATTCAAAATGGCTTCTTAATGGAGTTGACAGGAGAGAAATGGAGGTGGGCATTAAATAGAATTAAAATGCTTTAGTTGTGCATTTGGTGGGAAAATTTTAGCTTTACAGTATTAGAGTTTTAGGTAGGGCTGATACGAATAGTGAGATATTCGAATATTCGTTCGTTAAAGCAATATTTGAATAGTTTTTTTGCTATTCGAACTATTCGCCTAATAAAATTATTAATGGTTATTGCAATAATTAATGACCACACCCACTGCGTGTCACCTGCACAGGCTGCTTTCTTAGTCTGTTTCTTGGTCTGTTTACTTATCAACTCGCTAAATACTGATGCTGTGGCCAGGGAAAGTGGTTCTCAATCTCCAAGAAACCTTGTTTGGCATCACTTTGAAAAGTTTAATACCAAAAAGGTAGTTTATAATCATTCAGCAATAACAGTTCAATTATTCGAATATTCGTTCATTTAGCATGCCAATTATTCGAATAGTAAAAAATACTATTCGTTTCAGCCCCAGTTTTAGGACTGTGCCAACAAGTTTTTGGGGGTTTAATTTTGCGGTTGTGTAATGATTCACAAAAAAACTTTATATGAAAATAATGCACTTATTTTTGGTAGAATATGCGTTAAATATATTTTCGAGAAATGTTTATTTGGACGAGGCGACTAGACATTTGTGTCATAAATACTGCGTTTATACATGTAATTATGTTTGGCTGATATGGTAGTAATGGTACTAAGTATAAATACATGTAGAACATGTTTTAGTGATATTTTTAAACTGCATGTAATTTGCGTGATTTAAGGGCTACTATGTACATTGTACATGTACATGTATTTGTACATGGTGCTATATACATGTAAATTATTTTATTTCTTTTCAAAAGGTTAAAGATCTTGTGAAGAGTTTGAATATACAACTGGAGAACAAGTGCCAATTTCTGCCACAAGTGAGTGAAAAAGTAACTGTATAGTTTGAAGGCTCCCATATTTGATGAGCATATGTTCTCCAAGATTTCCCACTGGATTTTTACATAGTGCTCATGCAGCTTCTTGTCAGTGGAAGACCCTCTACTATAGCACAACAGGGTATTTTGGCAAAAATTACAAGAAGAGAATTCTTCATTTTTATAATTTTTTCTGAAGCGTATACATGTACTTATGCTATGTCGAAAATTTGAGCTGATTTCTATTGAAATTCGATTTTTTATGAATTTTTAAAGTTGCTCCAAAATTTAACAAAGCCCATGTTCTGTAGTTAGTACAGTGTTTTTTTTGCCAAATTTCGTCAAAAATTACTACAAGAGAATTCTCCATTTTTATAATGTATCTTGATGCATGTACTTGTGCTTATGTTGTGTATAAGGTTTGAGCTGATTCCAATCAAAATTGGATTTTTATTCATTTTTAAGTTGCTCCAAATGCCATTTAATTACTACATGTACATGTACATATAGTCCCTATCAGTTCAAAGCATTCTCTTCAGCTCACTTAGCATGTTTTTATTGTTTTTGTGGGGAGCCCTTTCCTTCTCACCAAGAATTCAACCCCAAAATAATAAAATAATAGTTAGGAAATACATGTACATGTACATGTAAATGTTTTTATTGATATAATGTCAATAATTTGATGTACGTGCATGTAATTTAAAATTATGTTTTAGGATAAAGTGGTTGAGTTTGCAAAGTTAGACTGCTATCAACTGTTGGAAGAGACAGAGAAAGCTGTGAGTGGTCATATGTTAATTAGACTACTAGCTATTAATATCAATAGATTGGTACTGATGACATGTACTCGATGCATCAAAGACTGAAAGGAACTAAAGAAAAGAAAGTACAGCTTGAAGTAAGGACATGCACATGTAGAATAAATGAAATGCACTTTTTTCGACTTATAGATCAATTTGTAGTCATTAATTTTATAGGCCACATACTGTATGCATGTACATGTACAGTAGACTGAATGTTGGAAAATTGAGTTTAAAATTCTCAACAAAATAATAATGTAGTACGGAGTATGTGTACATGTACATGTATAGTATAGACATACATGTACATGTACATCTCATGTACGTCTCATGTACATTAAGCTACATGTACTTAATGATACATGTGCATTGTACTTGTAATTGATGTTATTTTTCTTTAAAATCTCATTATACATGTACGTTTATGTACATGTACATGTACATGTATATACATGACTACATATAGGTGGCAATTTTGGAGGAGGGAAATTTCGCGAATTTGGTGTTTTGAGAGCCTTTTGACAAAATATAACCCAGCCACCCTTTTGATGGTACATGCCCTCAAATTTGCCAGATTAAAAACCATGTAGCAATCATAAAAAATTAGTAATTCACCTCTTCAAAATTACCAGCTATATGGTATAGCACGTGTTCATATTTGACCCTGTACGTAATGTGCTTGCATATATTTATTAATATAGAAAAGTCTTAATGCAAAGAAAAAGGAGTTGGAAGAGAAGGTGAGACATAACGAGCTCCTAGAGAGAGATGTGAGGCGTAAAGAGACGAGGGAGAACAGTTTAAAGACTATCAAGAACCTCAAAATGAAGAAAGCTTGGATAGTAAGATACACAATCCATTAGTACATGTAAATATTGTATACTTAGAAAATAATAAGAATAATAATGAATTATGTATTTACCAGGCAGTACGTGTAAATTGCATGCACAGTGTTACCATGAGTGTGACAAACCTGTTAGTCAGCAGTTCTTTTAATGCATGACTGACTACATGTATAACTTATATACATGTACATGTACGTATACGTGTGATGTGTATTTTGAGGATATTAACACTAGTTGTTGCTTTAGTTCCAAGTTTTGCGTTCTTGTCCACAATTCTTTGTAGTTCATGTTTTAATTGTCTCCTCAAATTTTTACATATTAATAGATGTAGATGCTTTTTTGTTGATTGTGATTAGTCTTTTTAGTTCTGGTCGTCTGAAAATCAAGCATGCATATACATGTTTTTCTTTATTGTCTCTTGAGGGAATGCACATGCATTACACATTTTCACTCATGTAGATACTCATAATTAATTTAAAATAAAATACAATATTAATAATAATGTACTGGTACATGTGTATATTAAGTATACATTTATTGTCATGCATGTAAGTTTATGTCCAGTGAGTCAATATTAGTACCTCGATTGGCCGATGAATTATTGCACATGCTTGAAGTAGTTGTATGAGGTTTTTTCATGATCTTATGACAAATAATATTAACAATAACACTATTGATCTCTGGCCTGAAGTAAGACTGAACTACTGGACTCAGTACAATAGCCAAGAAAAACAATATGAGAGCAGAAACAACAAGTGCACCTGGTGGATCAGCTATAGCTAGAAATGAAGACAAGACTGCACTAGGAATGAAGCATACCCCATAGATTAACAGCATGGAACCAAATATACCAAACAACCTCTTCTTCCTTGAGGCATAGACACAGTCTCCTACTATCTCTGACTGATCATTTATGAACTTACGAGTGAAACAGAACGTCCAAACTGAAGTAACAACAATGATACAGAGTAGGACCAATGTTAATAGGAATCGAATAACAGCCGCTATAGTACTAATAGTATAAGCATAACAGACTCCTAGATCAGGTATATACTGGTATACTACACCAGATCCATCAATGAATCCTGAAGAGAAAAAGGCAGCATTGAATACCCACACGATAATGACAAGGACCAGAGCTACCCTTGGGCTTATGAACCGCTTGTGGAGATGAGGCTTGACTATAAAAAGGAACCGATCGATTGATATAAGACTCAGTGTCATGAGCATCACATAAACACAATAGAGTATTATAAAGGCACTGAAATCACAGGATCCCTGTCTCTCCTCATCAGTACTGCCAATGATCCACTCACCAGCAGCTAATGCAGTGATAGAGAAAGGAAGATACAGGATCATTACAAGGTGTCCCAGTATGAGAGAAGTAAAGAATATTGTTGATGGCTGTTTCAAGGACTTTCTTTGATAAATAGTAATGACTAGCACCACACCATTAGCTATGAGAGCTAGTATCATCTCAATACTAAGAACTGCTGCTACTGCTTCAGGACTGAAGTCCCCAGTGTAGGTATAATTACTTTCCATTATGAAACTGAACTAGCTAGCAGAAATGATTTATCTCTCTTAATATACGTACATGTATAAAGGAAATAAATAAATTCCCCTGAAACCATACAATGCTTCTCCTTGTGTTGCCACTAATGTTGTAGCCATACAATTCTCCTCTTATGTTGCCACTAATGTTGTGAGTGTGTGTGTGTGTGTGTGTGTATGATAAGAAATATTGTAGTATAACAATGGTAAGGAAGAATAAAAACACAACAAGGAGAACACACCACTGCCTATCAGTAGCATCTATAGTCACTTCATGTGTATCTTTCATTTTATAATGATGATAATGATGATAATGATCAAGTTGTTGTCACTAGGAGCCAACTGATTATCAATGCTACCTGATCTGCATGCATAATAGTGATTCTTTGTAAGTTATCTCATAATGAAAGTTGCTTTTGATGTGTAGGTGCGGGTGAGCTAATTGTCTTTCTGCCTAACCCTATTATTGATATTGCTTCATTGTGATGCTTTTTTGTCTTTGGCTGTCAGTATAGGATATTGGCAGCCCTTTTGTGTACAGCTACTCTTATGTTTCTCCTTACCTATTGTTTATCTTAATGTCATTTGTGCAGTAAGGGTCCATTAATGCTAATTTGATGATTATAATTGTGTGTATTAACTATTAAGATTAAAGAAATCTTCCTGTAACAGAGCAAATTATTGATCAGATGTTATAGATAAACCTGTCATGAGGTTGATAACTATTTCCTTACTAGTAGAAAGTTCAACAGTGACAGTGTGTAAACATGTACGACAGTCACGTATCCATTCCCTCTTGCTAGTGCATTCTATTATACTGTACTTTGTACTGTAGTCACAATAAGTAAGTACTATGAGGTAATGAAGGTATACATTTAGGGAGTGTGGCCTGATCTGCTTCCTCTGACACTGCCTGTGAAGCTGTGACCTCTACCTTCACCTCCTGTAGCCTAAGCAAACATTATGCATGTACATGTACATGTATTACTGATTTACTGTAGCATGCGGGTTTTATTGTTAATGCTGATGCTATAAAAGGACTTGATTGCTGCCTAATGAGTATTAATTGATGAGTGCTCAACTCACTAAAGCATCTATTCTTTGCCAAGCTGCTGGAGAAGTCTTTGAATACCATCCTACTGCTTGTGATTATAGTTAGACTAACAAGGTGCATTGGGCTCATCCTAATGTCTTAATTTATAAAATTAATTATTCTTAATGTATATATCTACTGGCTACACGTACATGTACACAGAGTTTCCTACAGGATTTTAGCATGGTACTCTTACAGGTTCTTGTATGTAGTTTTAAATTTGCTCAAAAATTTGACAAAATACACTATACATGTACAGTTTATAATTTTTTAATTATGAATTAAATAATTTATAATTAAATTATTTTTAATTATTTTATTTATAATTTTATAATTTTATAATGTTTTTTTTTTGATTTGCTAATGCATATACATGTTTGTGTGCTGTATAGAAGTTTTAAGCTGATTCTGACCACTATTGCTTTTTTACGAGATTTGTTAGTTGCTCAAAAATTAGACAAAAGTCCCTTAATAAAAGGTTTTTGCCCCAAATTTTGCCAAAAATGTCAGCCAGAGAAATTTCCAATTCATATTTTTTCTGTTACATACTCTTATATTGTGTAGCATGCTTGAGCTGATTCTAATTATAATTGATTTTTTATGAATTTTAAAAGTTGCTCCAAATGACATGTACTGTATGTATAGAAGCAAGAGTAAATAATACCTACAGAGAGTATCCAATGGCCCTATTGAGGCCTGCTGCAAGTGTGTGGATTTCTAGGAAGTCACATTCCACATACTTCAGTAGTTTTCAATCAATGTTTATACAGATGTGTTGTTATACCGTATAGCTTGAAATTTTCATGGAATGTAAATTTCGTGGTTTTCGTGATTATGGGCTGCCCACGAAATTTAAACCCACGAAATCATTGAAGTGCCATCCCTTACAGGCTATGTAAACTGTCAACCACGAAAATTAAACCACGAATTGCCCCACTAAGAGCAAACCACGAAAATATCGACCCACGAAAATACCAAGCCAAGCCATACGGTAACAACATTTATCATTGATAATATACAGGAGTATCCTGAACGTGACTTCCTAGAAATCCACACACTTGCAGCAGCTGAGATGGGGCCGTTGGATACTCTCTGTAGGTATTATTTACTCTTGATAGTAGTTATGAAGCATATGCTGTTTAGCTCACTTGGCATGCTTTGTGGAAAACCCTGCATGTACATTTACATGTGTATTGATACTATTTTATTGATTGGTGTGGTTTTTAGGAATATGAAGAAGCTCGCCAAATATATGATGATGCCAAGAAGAAGAGGAAAGAGGCCGAAAGGTCACTGAAGAGACTCCATGACCGTCACAGGCCACTGAGGGACAAGATGAGACAGAGAGAGGCTATTGTACAAAAATATGGAGACAACCTTAAAGTAATAATGAAGGAATGAGAGAGAGAGAGGGTGAAAGGGAGGGAGAGAAAGTAGATGGAAAGAGGTACAATTTATCATGTACATCATGTAAACATGTACATTTATATTTTCTGCTACATTACATTATATGCTTTCAATTTCATGAATTTGCCTAAGAATCTATTTTGCAGGTTTATTTTTGTAAATTTATGCCTTCTGCCGTCTTACACTGTAAAAATTTGAGTTTCGTAGAATTATTTTTTTCGAATCTTCTAAGAATCGGGAAATTTAAATCCCTCAAAAATTTTCCACTATACGGTAGTAGTATTAAGAAAATAGGCTGCCAATATTTCTAGCTTTTCTGCATAATTTGTAGTATCTTATGCTTTTAAAAAATGAATTAACATTAATGATTACTGTGACATTGAATAGTCTGATAATTAGCTTTCTAGTGGCAATCAATGCACATTCCTGTACTTTTAATTTATTTTCTAGACTCATGACAGAAAGCTTAAAGAGATCAAAGGGCAGATAGAGGCTAAAGGAAGTGAATCAGATGAGTATGGGGAGAAGCAGAAGACTGCAGTTCTAGCATATGAACAGTTGAAGAAAGAAGCTGATGAACAAGAAGAGAAAATCAATAACTTAATGAATCAAATAAGTGTAAGCAATAATGTGATGACACATAAGATTAATTGTTACAGTACAAGGGAATTTGTATTTACCGGATTAAAGAGGATATGAATTGTCTTTATAATGTATTTGCTTTATTAGAAACTTGAGTGTTTATCTTGTTGACGACTTGACGAATATTAAAACTTTACATAATCATATGTACATGTATACAGTGGTCAGCCATGTTGCCTAGTGTTTTTGTGTGAATTTTAACAGCAGCACAATAAAGAATGCATGAGTTACCTTAGGGTGGGTATTAATTGCGACACTTAATTTTAGCGTTTTTGTACTTAAAAATGCTAATTCAACCAGCCGCTAATAATAGTTATTATGTACTTGTGTAAACAAGTACACAAGAGAGGCAAGATCTGTAACAAGATAACAGTAAATAAGGTGGTCCTGTTAAGTGTTCTGCTCTTAAATGTATAGATGGGGCGTCTTGAGTAGTGTTATGCTATTGAATGGGGGTTTTACCATTGATTTTCTTCATATTTTCGCTAATATTACATTTTGCTAAATCAGGGTCCCCTTAAAAACACTAAAATTTAAGAGCACATTTAATACGCACCCTAAGGTATGTACATGTACAGTATATTATGTAATTCTATTAGCAATACATGTACATGTACACATGTACTACTTTCTCAGTCTTAATCTTATCCTTACTTGTATTTTAGGGTTTGAAGAGTAATCTTGAGTCTCTGCCACCACCAGACACACTAGAGCCTCAAGTTAAGCGGAAGACGAGGGAGATATACTCACTCAATGCTGAGTTTGCGCAACTACAGAGCATACAGTCAGAATTATTGCAGAAGAAAGGAACCTGTGAAGCAAATATAACACGTAATTTATTACATACACAATGTGTACTAGATTTATAGTAACTTTTAGTTACAAGTACTATTATTTAAGATTGGAAGAATGTAGAACATTTAAGGGGCGAGCCTGATGGAATAATCAATAATAGTCATGTTGCATTTCAGTTACCGTATAGCGGGTAATTTTGGAGGGACTAAAATTTGGCAAATTGCTAAATTTTGGTGATTGGCGAATTTGTGGCCATGTTCCATTGAGCATACGTATAATGGCTCAAAATGGTGGATTTTATTTTGGCGAATGGCTATCGAACGCCAAATTCACCAAATTTAACTCCCTCCAAAATTTCGTATTTTAGACAACAATAAATGACTTTAAACAATTATTCTTAAACAATGAATAAATGATGTTTTATTGTCTCAGTGCTTAATGCTTTTAATGACATTGGTTGCTGTGTAGTAGTGCAATATACTAATATAAAATATACTTATTCTAATTTATTACATTCAATACTGCATTATTTTGAATGCATGAATAAATGGGGTGACATACCGGACAGGCGAATGGGGTGTGACTGAGAGTACTGCTAGAGTGGGGCTCGCTTAGGCTCGCCCCAATCACATCCTGCTGGGAAGGATGTGATTACAATCATGCATGTTTTTAATAACTGGGTGGACCTAGTCATTACCATCTCATGATTGCTATATAAACCAGGAGCAGCGCATAATCAGAGCTACATCTGTTAATCCTTCTTTCCAGAGTGTCTATTTATTATGGAAAAAGCAGCCCAAGCGATCCCGTATTGTGTTGGTAAATGGCTCCCATCAGATCAGGCCATCCTTAACAAGTGGCTGGAGAATCTCATTGAAGAAGTGGATGGGAAGGAGTCCACTGATGGTGTTGATGAGGTTGATGCTGCAGATGAAGGCCTTGAGATAGTTGGACTACAGCCACCAGTTAGAGCTCTTAAAGTCCTGATAGAAACAGACTCTGAGGTTAACATGTTCTTCCACCAAATGTTCCGACAGATTCCAGCTAAAGATCCAACCTGTAAACCGCAGGTCCGCAACTATCGTATGATGTTGCGTCTGATAAACCGCATTATGACCAAAGCACCAGAATTCAATGGGTCTGATCTAGTTGGTTTTCCCATCAATGCTATACTAAATTGGCCTATGGGAACCACAGGAGGGTTTGCTGCCTTCTTGAACGGCAAAGTTAATGCTCATTTTAAAAATATTCTCAATCACTGGGCCATTTTCCTTAAATCTGAAGAATCCTGTTATGTCCTTACTACCGATGAAAATGGATGGCTAGGACCAAATGCCATGGCTCATCCTCAGATGCAGAACTTTGCTATTGATTTCGTATGTGATCCATCGCAGCCGCACTATGGCTTCAAATCTTGGGACGATTTTTTTACTCGGGAGTTTCGTAAAGGCATTCGTCCTGTTGCATCTCCTGATGATCCGCAAGTCATAGTAAATGCTTGTGAATCTGCTCCTTTCAATATTCAGACAAACGTTAGACGCCGAGACAGGTTTTGGATCAAATCACAGCCTTACTCCATTAACTTCATGCTTGCTAATGATCCATTAGCAGAGCAGTTTGTAGGAGGCACGGTGTACCAGGCTTTTCTCAATGCTTTCAGCTATCACCGCTGGCATAGTCCAGTTGATGGTACGATTGTTAAGGCATACGTTCAAGATGGAAGCTACTACTCAGAAGCTCAATCTGAAAAAGGTGATCCAGCAGGGCCCAATAATTCTCAGGGCTACATAACCGAAGTTGCTACCAGGGGGATCATCTTTATCGAAGCCGACAACCCAAAGATTGGTCTCATGTGTTTTATTGCTGTGGGAATGGCTGAAGTCTCAACTTGTGAGATTACAGTGTTTGATGGGCAGCATGTGCAGAAAGGCCAACAGATAGGTATGTTTCACTTTGGTGGATCCACACATTGTCTTGTGTTTCGTAAAGACGTCAATCTAACTTTTGATCTTCATGGTCAGACTCCTGGTCTGGAAGCTCATAATATTCCTGTGAAGGCAAAAATTGCTATGGTCCAATAAATGGACAGTTTAATCATGGATAGTTTGACTGTTATACAATTATAGCTGCTGCATTAGTTCTTTTGCTACCAATATAGTGTTGTATTAGCTATATTCATTTTTGTAGTGCAAGTCAAAATGATGATCATTTTAAAAATTAAGCATGGGGAATTAATAGTGCCCATGCGCAGATGACTTTTCATACCAACCACCCAATTCATATAAACTGGGATACTTTGTCAACTGAAGACCTTCTGAACCTATTCACTATTCACTACAAGTGATAATAACCTTTGTAATCTTAAATTCTAATTATATTTTTATGCTCTACTGAGTCTGTTTATTAACTAGACGATGAAGACATTAAAGGGGCAAGCCTAAGCAAGCAAAGCAATTTACATACTAATAGATCTTGACAGACTAACAATACTCATGCATGATAATGATTATTGTGCAACTAATAAGCAGGCTCAGAACTTGATGATCTACCTTTGTATTCTCTATAGCAATTAAAGTTACCTTGCTTATAGCATTAAAAAATAGCTACAACCAGTCATTGCACAAATTATATAGCTACAACTGTAGCTATGTAGTTCATTGAATCTCATTGAATGAATGAATGATTGAATGATGAATGAATGAATGATTGAATGAATGAATGAATGAATGAATGATTGATTTCTTAATCAGAGTTATTTGTGTCAATCAAAAACATGGCATATCTGCTTTCTTAACCTTCCTTGCTGCAGTACAGTGACTACATTACACAGTCTAATCTTGCCGCTGACTTCAGTGAAAGCTCAGCCACTTTGTGACTACACCTGTTTTTAATGAAGATTATTAAGTTAATTAAAAAGTGGAGATTTTTTCATACAGATAAATAGGGGTGATGTACGTGTACATACAGACAGACAGACTTATATATTTGTGTTGTTTATGTGGGGCTCACTCATGCTCACCCCAATTAGTAGTATTAAATTTTCTAATACATATGCATGTACTTCAAGTTGTGTAGAAAACTAGAAATTTTGAGTGTTCCAGTTAAAATTTGCTATAATTGCTATTATAGTACATGTATAAGGCTATAAGTAGCTCATGAAGCATGCTAGCTGTGTAGCTCACTTGGCATTCTTTGTGGGAAACCTAGCAGTATACCGTAAGTGTAGAAATTTTCGAGGTGTATTAATTTTCGCGGGTACTAGCTAACCGTGAAAATTAATATTTTAACCCTTTATGAACAGAACGCCCACACGTCCAATTATAGTTGTTAATAACAATGGTACTGTACAAGTTCTTCAGGCGTGTGGACAAAAATAAGGACAAGATAGTGAAGAAGACAAACCTGAGGAGAAGTCACAAGCAGCTGGTGTTGCTAATGATCCAGAGAAGTAAAATAGAAAATGAGGAGAGTCCACGTGCAATAATTATTACATCACATGACCTCACTGACCACCCCTTTTATGATTATCCGCGAAATTTTATCCACGTGAAATTTATAAAATAAAGCAACTAGCACAAAACTGTGAAAATTTATTACCTCGAAAATTTCTACGCTTACGGTATTTGAATAATAACAATAAACCAACCACAATTAAAGGATGTGCTGACAGTACTGTACATGTACTAAGAGTCAAAATTTTGAAATGAAGCATTAACCAAAAATCACTTGAAGTACTACCAAGAGTGGATGATTAATTATTCACTCTTGGTACCTTATGTGTATGTATATGTACATGTGCTCACTTCACTTCCCCTCTTGTATAATTCTCCTGTCATTCTTAATGATCTTTCTCTCTCCCTCAGGTTGTAGAGAAGAGTTGGATGCCATTAATGATGTATACAAGCAGAGACTGGAGATGCTATCAAGGAAGGACAGAGATGCTTATAGTGCACTGAAATGGCTCAAAGAAAACAAGAGCAAGTTTAAGAGACCAGTTTATGAGCCAATCCTAACACTTGTAAGAGATGAAGTGTATACATGTACATATTATACATGTACAATGTGCTTCTTTCTCTCTTTTATTCTTCCTTTTCTTTTTCATGTAGTTACGTATTAAGGACATGAATTATGCTAGTCAGATAGAGAGTTTCTTTAGTGGACGTGATCTGGTGTCTTTTATATTTGAAAGTAGAGAAGATCGTGACGTTTTTGCTAGAGAAGTACATACACCAGACCCTCATAAACACAACTTTATCTTTCTTTTGTCTCTCACTCTTCTCTTCCACTCACTGTCCTTTTCCAATGAACCTCTCTCTCTCTCTCCCTCCCTCCCCCTCTCTCTTTTCCTCTCCCTCTCTCCTCTTATCAGGTGAGGGATAGTATGAATCTTAGGGTTAATATGGTTATTGCTCCTTCTAATCCACTCTCTAATTACAAATGTAAGGTTCCAATGGAGAGGCTAAGGTGAGAACCACACCCTTTACTAAATGTACATATGTCATGTACATGTACATGTTGTTTTCAGGCAGTTTGGATTCCAGTACATGTTAATGGATTTGGTTGAAGCTCCTCCTCCTGTACTGTCCTATTATTGTGCTCATCAGCATTTACATGATATCCCAGTGTCTCTTAATAAATTAACAACTCAAAGATTGAATAGTTTAAAATCATCTCATCCAGAGGTACAGAGGTTTTACACTGATGATCAGATGGTAAGATATTGTTATTACTAGACGAATGTAAAACATTAAAGGGGCGAGCCTAAGCAAGTAAAGCAATGTACATACAATAGATATTGACAGACTAACGATACTCATGACAGTGCAACTTAAGCACCTCAGAACTTGATTGAGTGCAGTGTAGTTCTTGACCTACCTTTGTAATCAAATCAAGTTTAACATTTGGAAAGCATTAAAGATAGCTAGAAACAGTCACTGCACAAATGATATGGCTAGATAGGCAACTGTAGCAATGTAGTCCAAGTTAGTTCAGGCTGTGACAGACATTCAAAGTCATTCACATCAATAAAGATGGCATATCTGCTTTCTTGACATTCCTTGCCGTTGCTTTGGACAGTGGTATGCGAGTACAGTAAGTCAAGTTATCAGCAACAAGTGTAACAGGGTAAAAAGTATTCCTATAATTGATTTCACCACCTTGCAAGTACAACTTGGTCATTATTAAGACTTATAGAGGTTCTCTCTACCTTATAATGCTTCTAGAGAAGTCTTTAGACAGTATCTCTATGCTCTCTTGCTGTTAGAAAGCTCTTAACTTTGTCCCATGTGTAAGCCGCCATTTTGTTTGCCGTAACCACACCCACTCACGTAAAGGAGCGTGGGCGGGTGGTTACTAAGGCTTGTTATTTCTCCAATACAACGTGTATAGAAGAAATGTAAGTGCGGACATACAAATAAAAATATATATATATATATATATATATATACACATAGCGCGACG